TAAAGACTCTCAGAGAACATTGTAACTACAAAAAATAACTACATTGTATAAAGGCATGTTTTCTTTACCTTAGAATTGCCCCTTTATATTTAAATACTTTATATTTACATCAGGAGCGGCTCCTCTCTATGAAGACAGCCATGTTTTTTTACTGGACAAACTAAACCTTTTGTGTTTCTATGACAACTGAAGCTGCCACCGGTTCATGTTTGGAAGGGGGTGGTATTAAGCTGCAACATGATACTTCACCACTAGATATCACTAAATTCTACACACTGAACCTTTAAAAACAACCCTAACCCCAAAAACATTAAAAGTTTTGAACATTAAATGTGTAAAACATTCAAAGTGTAGTGACAGACACACAAATACAGATCAAAGAATCAAAGTTGACAGGTCTAAGAAGTTTCTTGAAAAGTTCACAACAGTGCACACACAAACACACACTTGTGCGTGGAGCCAGATTTGACCCCACCCTAACTGTCACTATGGCAGCAGCTGTTGCAAGTCTTCAGTTTGACCCTCCAGTGTAAAGTTACAGAGTACGATGACCCAGCTCATTCTCCCACACACACACACACACACACACACACACACACACACACACACACACACACATTGTTGTACTAACCCTATCTTAGTGAGGACACTCACAATACATTTGCCAGTTTAGGGATTCTACTTAACCATCAAAACTAAATGCCTGACCCTAACCCTAATCTAAACCTAAATCTAACCTAATAACCAAGTCTTAACCCTCAAACACCCCCTTGACATAGTGAGGACTCGCAAAATGTCCTCATTTTCCCCAAATGTTCTCGTTCCATAAGGCCTATGCTCAATGTGGTCCTCACAAATATAAGTAAAAGTAAAAGTTCACACACACACAAACACACATTTGATTCTATATATATATATATAAATGTAAATACAACTTTTATTATCATTTCTTGTTTTTTGATACCTAATCCTCTCTCTTTCTGACTCTGCTATTTCCCACAAATATTAGACTACAGGAGGCTAAAAATATACACACAGACACACAAACAAGTTTCATGCACCAGATTGGTGTAATGGTATATTTAGTGTTAGATGACTGAATATCACTGAGTTTAAGATTCATGAGCTTATCTAATGAACAATGCCACCGAGATGCAGAAAAAAATCCAAACTGTACATTCGACATTCACTGTCATCATCCTGTTCAGTGTGGCTAGAGTTTGAGTTAGGTTGGAGTTAAGTTATGGTTTGAGACATGTTAGACATAATCTTGATCAGTCAGCAGTAGGAGGAGGAGTCAGGAGTTATGTTTCCATTAAACTTTGAAGCTCAGAATTACCCACTGCCGAGTTGGAAGTTACAACTGTAACACACCCTCAAGTCGGAATATTGACTCAGAAGATCGGTGGAACCCCACCACCGTCCAAGATGGCCGCTCCATGAATCAACAATAGTTAAAGCTGTAGTTTTACTGTGTAATAGCACTAGTCATTACATTTGTTATACACATAGTACTGTCCAATAACTGCCTCAGGACATGTTACTACAGTGTTAGTGTGCATGAAATGCAGCGGAATGTGTTATTATGGACTGTTTTTCTAAAAATGGCTAACTGGCTAACGTAAACATTGTTCCTATGCAACTGGAATGCTATCAACTTGGGTTATTCAAGCGTGACATCATTCCGAGGGCTGAGCTCTGAGATCCGAGGTATAATGGAATGCTCCCACAGAGCGACAGTAACAAGTGTCTCATGAATATATGAGGACTGGTTCTCTTATATTTACTCTGATTCTATATTTACATCAAAGCTGTTTTCACACATAAACTGTTTAAAATGTTGTCTGGACATGTGTAGTCAGTGTGTGCAGCAGATTGTCCGGGTCCGACTCGTTCACAACAACAGGAACATGTGGGGAACATTCAGGTGAGGGGTGGAGCCTGTAGAGCAGCAGGAGGCGGGACATGACATCTAAACTCTACCATGTAAAGATCAGTGTTGTTGTTTACAGCTCGTCCACACTGGCGTTGGCCCTCATCACCAAAACATCTGGAACCACCTCGTCTTTCCAAGTTAGGGTTAGGGTTAGGGTTGTCTTCTATGTGTACGGCTCCTCTTCTTCATCCTGAGTTTTGCCTCTCCACACAGTCACGCTCCCATTCATACAGTGCGTCTATGTGAAGCATTATCTCCATCATATACCAGTCATACACTGCAGGCAAAGCCGTCAGGGGCAATTTGGGTTTCAGTTTCTTGTCCAAGGAAACTTCAACCCGCAGAATGACAGAGACGGTGATCAAATCGCCAACCCTCTGGTTAGTGGATGAGCTGCTCTACCATCTGAGCCACAGCTGCCACTCTGATCGTGTGTGTGTGCGCATCTGTGTGTAAGTGTATCAACGTGATTGTATGTGTGTGTGTGTGTGTGTG